TTGCAGCAATATCAATTCAAACCACTGGCTGACTATCTGACTAATAAATAAGAGGACAAGTTTCTTGTTTTTTTTTTGACATATAAATACAAGCTTGTTATCGTATATACTCCTGAAAATGGATATCATGCCTGTTTGTCTATTTTCATACAGTAGACTAGTAATTTTACCCAAAGCAACCTATCTAATTTGGTCCACAAAACTGATATATGAAAAACAAGTACCTTATCATGAACCACATTTGGTTTCTAAAAGTTATCGCATCCATTCCAATGAAACTGAAATGGTGTACATCTAGCCTGAAACATGAGCATCTTTATCAAGAACAATATACAGCTGTGAGTCCTGAGCCTGAATGTCTGACAAGACAATGTACATGGGTGACGTGTCTTCATTACTAGTTTGGACAACCTTTACATTCTCAGGCTTTAGGTCTGGCATAGGCTCACCCTCATTATTCACAACAATGAAGTCCCTGGCACTATCTACTCCATCTCCATTATAGAAGGAGCTGTGCAGAGAATTTTCATTTGTATAATGAACTGTACTCTTTTCTTCACTTTCTCTAAGTGTGGAAGCAGTACCATCGCTGACATCAACAGAGTGGACAATACTGGCATGTGTTCTGTCTCCAAGTTCATTACTCAGTGTTTGTTGAATGTACTTTCGGCTGTTGCTAACAGTGTCTACTTTTTCAATCTCTTCTTCCTGTATATCTGTAATGGCTAAAACAACTGAATCCTTACTGGCAAGTTTATCTGCAATGATCTTGGAGACAATACTGTCACTCGTGCCAACGTTCACAGGCAGAGTTTGAGTGTACGAGTCAACACATTCATAATTTACAGATTCAACTGCTGCTGCCATTGCTTGCTGCAAGACATCGATGGAAGGATCAACAACCTTTGGCTTTGGCTTCACTTTGATTTCATCTACTCTCATCATTTTCATTTTTAGGTTCTTCAGCCTATTTGCTTCCTCCTTTGGGTGGTTCTTCTTTCGGTGATGTCGGAGAGCACTGTAATTCCGAAACGAGATGGAGCACACTTTGCACTTGATGGGCATGTCTCCACTGTGAAGTTTCCAGTGGGCTGTGTAATGGTGCCGCAGACTGAAACTACTTCCACACACCTCACATATAAAATTCCTGGCTCCTGTATGCTTAACCATGTGCTGTTTGAGTGTGCCTCCACTTCTGAAGTCCTTCCCACATGTGGTACATTTGTAAGGTTTCTCACCACTGTGAATCCTCATGTGTCTGGTGTAAGAACTGTTGACAGAAAACTCTTGTCCACACACTTCACATTTGTACTGCTTCTCACCCGTGTGAATGACCATGTGTTTTCTTAAATCTGCCTTTCTCCTGGTCTTGTATGAGCAAATATAACATGTGAAGACTCTGGCAACTGATGCTTCATGTCCATCAACATGATACCTGAAACCTCCTGGATGTTGAACTTCTTGCCACAAAATTCACAAATATAACGGCAATCTCTATTCTTTCCCTTGTCATTCAACTGAATAGAGGAGTGTTCCTCAATCTTCACTAACTCTTTGCTGCTATTTTCACACTGGAAGCCTTTGACTTTCTTCTCAGCTCTGGCAGAAGACGTGCCACCGAGGCTTGGCTCATCCTCTCCCAGTAAATCCTTGGCTTTGGTGGTGGGCTTTCTCTTTCTCTTCCCTAAACAAGGCTGAATGGCTATGTCTGTGAAAACATCTGAGAGTGTCTTCTTCCCAAGCTCACTTTCTACTTTATTTTCTGGGAGATGTTCCTGTCCATTCTCTCTCTGAGATGCAAGAAGATTCTGCATTTCATCTGAATTATTTTCCATATATTTGGTGTGAATCTCTGAAGCTATATTCAATGTCTCACTAACCTCAATATATGAATGATCAATACCTGAGCTTTCATCAACCTCATGCATAATGCATGTAACACTTTCTACAGGGACATCATCATTGTTCTCTGAAACCACTACATCAGTTTCAGACATCAACAGAGAATTGGAAGAATTGTTTTTTGCTAAAGGGATCAGATTAGCTGAATTTATCTTATCTGTTTCTGCTATAGTGGTAGTGTCTTTGGTAAACATCTCATTTTGTACATTCAAATGTTCACTCCCATCATCATGATGTAATGTAGGTGGTGATCTAGTAATAGCATTCAACTTGTCACTGTGAAGATCTTCCACTTCTCTATCATCCCCACCTCCTATCTCCTTCTTATCGTTTATGTTATGTATGTCTTCTTTAATTGAAGACTGATCATATTCACTGACAGGTGATTCATTTCTGAGACAAGGAAGCAACAAAGGAACATCTGTCTGTGTCTCAGCTGGACAGTTAAACAAATCCTCCTCGAGTGTCTTGGCAACACTATTCTTCTCCATGACATTTAGTGTTGGCAACTTGTCAAAAGTTGTTTCCACTTTGCACTCCTTGCCCAACAACACAGATCCATAGCTTACTATATCTAACTTTTCCCCATGGAAATGATCCCTTGCTTGGATATTCCAGATGGAGCACTTGTCTCCTATGAAATCTAGACTCACATTATTACCCCATGGAATAAAAACCCCTTGGCACATTAGACAGTTTTCACAGTATTGATAAAACACCTTGGAATCACTATGTTTACACAAAAAACAATCATAATAGTTTATATCTACACAATATTCACACTCTTTATGTGTGTATTCTTCTACTTCTGTATTCATTAAGGCTACCTCAGAGGTATGACCTATCCAATAATGAAAGGATTCTCCAAGCACAGAGTTACAATCTCTTTCCTTATCTAGACACACATTGTGCTCATCAGTTATCTGACTGTTGCTCAAGTCATTCCAGTTCATATTCCCATCTTTGCTGTTCCAGATACAGCGATCACTTGTTGGGGAAGACTTGGGTTGAGCACCTGAGAGATCCAATACAGGTGAGCCATCTGGCTTACTATTATCTTGGTATGTTTGAGGCTGGTGTGACTTTGATGATATTGCATCTTGCCTTATCTCTTCATGGCAAAATCCCTGGCCCTGAAAATAAATGGGCCTTTTTAAAAAATCAAGGTTTGAAAGCATATCTTATCACTAAAAAGTCTCTTACACGAGATGCAGCTACCATCAAAGTCACATTTCCTCTACTCAGTATTATCTCTTTAAAAGAAAAGTGCAACTGACTATTTCTTTTACAAGAAACAAATATTTCATTCTTACCTCATTGTCATTATCGCTCCCTGGATCATGACCATCTTCAGAACGTGATCTCGCCCTACCTCTTCCCCGCCCTCTTCCTCTCCCCCGACTCATATCCTCAGACCGAGATTTCCAGCCTCTTCCTCTGCCCCGCTTCCTAGCAGATGTTTGAGACATCTGGATGCATCGCAGACATCTGGGTTTTAGCATCTGTAAGGACATAAAATACCTGTCAAACTCATAACTGAGAAAATTGAACAAAAGGTCCTACATGCAATAAAGCTCTTTTCAGCATAGAAAAGATTGAGAGAAAAGACAACATGAGCAACTAAAATCCAATAGTCGTGTTGATCAGCAGAAATCAAGGTCTAATGTTGACAAATTATTACTGATCAAGCCGTGTAAAGCTCTGCAAATGAGTGAATTGCTATGGCGTCCACCAGTAACAGACATGTACATTACGCAAACAAAGATATGCCTTGGGCAAATTCAAGATATTTTAAGACCTGTGACAGAACAGGGGGGGGGGGGGGGGATATTGGAAAACTTCCCACAATGACAAAATAGTTATAGTATCCACTTTCTCATATATTCCCCTGCTTTAACTCGACTTCTAATCTAGTTGTGTTGATCAAAAAGGATAAAATGTAAGGAAAAGCTCATTAAGACAGTTCTTACCTTATCTGTCCTTGGATACTTCAGTTTCAGTTTCTGGACAGTTTCTAAAAACTTTGTTCTGACATCTGTCTTTGACTCTGTTAAGGTCTGCTGCAACTCATCTATAATGTCAAGCAGATGATAGCACGCTTTGCATACAACCTGCAACAAAAAATATTTATAAAAACATCAATACAACAAATGTGTAAAATCACACACAGGATAACATGAGTCAAAAATGTTTTTCACACACTTTAATATTAATACTCCATCTACCATCAAATAAGCAAACTCAACTGTGTAATACAGAAAACAATGTAATATAATATACAATGAACAATATAATACATGACGTAACATAAACCACCACCAAATCACCTACACACAGACAAAATAAACACATATAAAATAAACAATTATTTCTGACCTGTGAATGCAAGCGTCCATCCTCCAGCTTGTATCCCAAGACATCTGTGAGAAGGACCAGGAGGGGGGCATGGGAGTGGTTCATGGAGGCTTTGATTGACTCAAAGTTTTTGTCAGAGACTGGATTGCAGCACACAAAGCACAGCCGTGTCCGCTCAATTTCCTCATGATGAGAGCCTTCTCCGTGCATGGGGTGCTGGTGGGACTGAAAGGAGCTGTATATGTAATGGTTACAAGGAAAAATATTTATAATTTCAAGTATTCAGGGAAGTTGATAAATAATATCTGCATCTACATATAACCATAAACTACTAACCCCGAATTAAAGGTTGGCTAGTGGGCCATTAAAATGGGGTTGTTAACACGCATGGACAGTTTCCCATTTGCCATTGACAAAAGTGCCACCCAGTGGGAAGGGGTTAAAATAACGTTCATCCACTTAACATCATATCCCTTTTAAACATGTAATATTCTCAACAATTTTGCCTTCCAACAAGGGTAATCCCCTATTCTGCCAGGCAAAAACATCAAAATCACCTGTCACCATAATTATATAACAATATAATCTTTGGATGGTGAATCTAGTGATTTTAATTTTGAAATTCTTTAATCTGAGGGGGGGAACAATAATAAAACAAATTAAATACATATACAAAACAAAGACAAGCCTAAACATACTGTCACGACCTGTTCCTCAACCATTGGCCCAGTTGGCATATATCCTCCAGGCTGACCTCCGAGCGTCCCATCATCATTTCCATCTGCTGACACAAATGAACTACTAGCTGCGTTAATCATCGCTTGAGGATGAGTAGGTGGCGGTGGTGGTGGTGAGAAACCTTCATAGACGACTTCAGGCGAATCGTTCGCACTGTCATCCCACTTTTCTGCCATCTGGAAAAGAGAACAAGGCTATGGCTAACATAAAAATAAGTAACATCAACAATTGCATCAATAGCCATAAAGAACAGGAAAAACCCTTAATCCTTCATAAAAATATTTGCATTGTTATGAATATTAAAAAAAAAATCCTAGAACCATCAGAAGTCCAGCAGCAGCATTGCAGGCATAGAGATGAAAAGTGCTGGTTGAAAACAACACTTGATGAATCATTAATAATTTCTCTGCTATATTTGAGCTTTCTTCATATATCCTGAAGTGTCAAATTAATCTATCAATGAATTACAGATAAATACAATAAGTATTATTCCCCCCCCCCCCCAAAAAAAAAAAACATTGTGGCTTTATCTGTACATTTACTTGTTAGGACACAAGTATTTCTTCTACTTCATTACCCAAGGCAACCACAGAGTTTGATATAGCTTTTCATTCACAGACGGTTGTTTCGTGATGTTATCAGTGTGAACTGAAAGAGTATATGAACATCATTCTAATGCCATGATTTAAGAATAAAAATAATGGTAAAATGATTCTACATAACACCTGCAGCCTGCAATTGCCAGGAAATTTGGTATCACGGGCCTGCTTATGGTGGATACTGTACAGACAACAAATTAAGGTGCAGTTCAAATTGTCTTGTATATGTCTAGGACCTGACTTGTGTCCAATTGCCCAGCCAGACATCGGGTTTCAATTGCAAAAAGCAGTGCCATAACAGACCATACATGCCTCTCACTTGAAACATTGTGCATAGTAATTGTTGTTTGAGCAACATGCAGCACATGGACCAATTACAATAACGCGTAGTAGAGTAGTAGTAGTAGTAGTATTAAAACTACTAATCCATAATATCAAGAGTCATAACCATAACAACACCAATAATAGTAACAGAGTGACAATCATAGCGTAGCCAAACTTTGCTTATGCTCCTGAGTTTCTGCTGTCTTTTATCTGTTTAATAAATAAACAAAAAGAATAAAATGAGAAGAATGCCTTATTTTGTGATATTATAATTTACACAAACGGAGAAGTCGTACACTTAGTAATGTAGAATAGGGATAGAGTCTTTCATCAATCCTCCTCTCGGACAGTACCCAAAAGGTACACTAAGATAGTTGAATGTCTTTTGTGATGTGGCTTTTGGGACAAGTCTATACGGTAAAGAATTACGTCAACAACAGTGAATGCTTGACCATCTCTACTACTAGTTTATGTTCATTAAATGATTGCAAAACAGTAAACATGTAATTTTTTTCTTTTTTTTTTTGGTATATATTTACAAAGCAACCATAAAAAGATAAGGAAAATATAACAACTGTCAAAATAAGAGGAAAAAATTATGCCCATTAATATTTACAATCTGCAAAGGCAAAGAATAACGTCGGAAGTGAAAATAATAGGCTGCAACAAATGCCGTTCTGAATCAAAGTCTGCGGCAATCACGTACGAGTCTCAGAACAAAGCCACCAAATTAGGAAGGTTTATGATTTATATAGCTATATTCATGTCAATGATGATGTTTATCCTAACAATGCGTTTCTTTGTTTTATTCACTTTGTCATCTACATATACTTTTTGTCTTATTAAAGGTAGGTTGAAACTTACGCATTACCAACCAAAATAATAATAAGGTAAATATTCACAATACCCTATCAATAACAATAATAGTAATAATGATAATAATAAGAATATAATCATTATAATAATAAACAACTCCATGAGGATTTAATATTCTAAATTAAAATACCATTTTCCATGACTGACAGACAACCAAATAGGAATGGTGTCATGTGACAACCACATACGAATGGTGTCATTTCTTGTTCCAACACTAAACACGAAACACAAAGCTTTAATAATCAAATAAAGTTACCTGGACGTCAACACAGGAGCCACGACCACAGAACACACTGCAATTTACAGCTTATACCAACCTCCATACAAAACACAGACACAAACGAACACAAACACGAGAGAACAGAGAACAAAGAACACCAACTTCCACACTAAAAAGAACAAAAACAATTAATTAAGAAAAAAAAATACCGCACGACCCCCTCACAGCCCCGACGAAGAGCCCACCTTCCTTCAGAAAAAAAATCAAAACAAACCCCTTTTCCTCACTTCCTCTCTTCCTAACCCACCCAGACCCCTTGACGAGACCCCCAGGCACCCCCTTCCACCCCTGAGAAGCCGAGTCACAGTCACAAACCTGCACAAACAACGAGGAAACGAGGAAGAGGGAGTCTCGCATCAGGATCCCCGCTTCATCTTGTTTACAAAGATGGCGGACCAGGACGGGGTTTGAATCCGGGGGGGGGGGGGGGGTAGCGGGGAGGTTTACAGGGGGCGGGGGGGGGATTTCAGGGAGATTTATAGTTTTTTGGGGGGGTTATTGGGGGTTGTTGGGGGGAGAGGTTGGGTTGAATCCAGGGAGGGGGGTGGGGAGGAGAGGTTTGCGGGGAGGGGTAGAGGGCGGGGGAGGTGGTGGGGTTTGCCGGGAGATTTCAAGGGGATTTATGGGTTATTGGGGGTTATTGAGGGGATTTACGGAAAGAAAATGTGTGCGAAAGGGGATTTACGGGGGAAAATTTGGGATTATGGGGATTTAAGGGAAAGTAATAGAGACATTGGGATTTGTGTGAAGAGGGAATAGGAGTTTTGGGGGATTTACGAGAAGCGAATAAGGAATAATAGGGATTTATGGGGAGAAAAGCATGAGGATTTTGGCTGATGTTGAATCTAAGGAATGGGTAAAAGTATTGATAGGGGATTTATGGGAAAGAATAGATGGGAAATGGGGATTTATGAAGAGAAAGGGGGCGACAAAAGGGGTTAATGAGGGATTTATGGAGAGGAAATGGTGGAGAGAAAGGGGGAAGCGGATGGGGATTTCCAGGGAGGAAAGGTGGGGACGCAAAAGGGGTTAATGAGGAACTGATAAGGACATCTGTAATGTATCAGTAATATAATTTTTCATTATTATCATTATCATCATCCTCATCATTATTATTGTCATCATCCTCATCATCATCATTATCATCTTTTCTATCATTAATCATGATTACTATCATTATCATCATTATCATTATCATTATTTATCATTATCATCACTATTATCATTATCATCATTTCATCATCATCATTATCAACATTATAATCATCCTCATCATTATCATTATCATCATCCTCATCATTATCATTTTCATCATTATTATAATTGTCATCATCCTCATCATTATCATCATCATTATCATCCCTATTATCATCATCATTAATCATCCTCATCATTATCGTCATCATCATTATCGTCATCATCATTATTATCATTATCATCATCACTATCATTATCATTAACATTACTATGGTGATGAAGATGATGATGATGATGGTGATTGCTGTCACCATCACCAAGGAGGTTATGATTTTGGTACCGTTGGTTAGTTTGTTTGTCCGTTGGTTTGCAGGATTAGTTATGAACAGATTTTTATGTTTTTTTTTTTACTTAGAAGCCATTAAATTTTATGCTTCGTGTTATTAATTAATATTATTATTATTATTGTTATTATTATTGTTATTATATGTATAATTATTATTATTATTATTATTATTATTATTATTATTATTATTATTATTATTATTATTATTATTATTATTATATTATTATTATTATTATTATTATTATTATTATTATTATCATCATCATTATTATAATAATAAAATTATTATTATTATCATTATTGTAGTTATTAGTATTATTAACATCATTGTTATCATTATCATTATCATCATCATTATTATTATTATTGTTTATATTGTTGCTGTTGTTGTTATCATTATTATTATTATTGTTTTTATTGTTGTTGTTGTTATAATTATAATTAATATCGTTATTTTTATTATCATCATTATTATTTTCATTATTATTATCATTATTATTATTGTTATCATTATCATTATCATCATTGCTATTATCATAGTTACCATTATCATTACTATTTTGTTATCATTGTTATTATCACTATCATTATTATCATCAACATTATTATTATTACTGTTATGATTATTATCATTATCAATAGTATAACCATTGTCATGAAATCATCATTATTATTTGTATTATTTGTAACAGTTGCACTTACTGCCATCATCGCTACACCACCATCATTATTATTGTTGCCATAATCATCATTATTTTTACTCTCATTATCACCTTCATTACTCTCATTATCACCTTCATTACCACCAGTATCGTTATAATTGTCTATCATCATTATGGTTATTCATCATTACTAATCAATATCATTATAGTGCATTCCATCAATATCATCATCCTTATTACCATAATCAACATCATTATGATTGGTGGTGTTGTAATTGTTTACGATGTCAGTATCTATCATTATCATTGCTGTCAGTATAAGAGTTATAATTCAAATATCAATATCATAGAAATTATAACAATCATTATATGATTGTTATTAAAAAAACAACATAATTTTACATGGCAACTGTAGGTTTTGCAATTCTCTAATTCATTACTATGTCATCTTTATTACTACTATTGTTTCTCATTGTACTTTTATTCATATCAAGGAATATGCCTATCAGTGTATATCAATTGGATATGAAAATGTATGTCCATTCATTCGTAACAATACCTATTTTTTCTTTATTATTGGTTGTATAGATCTCTTGATGTCATTAGATTCCAATACAGACGCATAGATGTCGTTTTATGAGGAAGCGAATAAAAAAAATAATTAATTCCAAGTCTTCATTATTCCAATCTTTATAGTGGTAGGTTGACATGTGCAAATCAAAGTTTATTGCTGTTGGTATTTATCCTCATCTTCAACAGAGAAGCAAAAAGAAAAAAAAGAAAAAAAGTAAAGTATATATCACCTTTCTTTTGTATTTTCTTTATCAGTATTACCTCTTACTCTTAACTTACCCTTTTCCCTTATAATGCCATAGTTAGTCTAAAGCCCCATTGGTCGTGTACCTTCATGCAGCTGAACAGAAAGAAGTGTTGGGAAATTATGAGAGAAAGAGAGGGGGAGAAAGAAATAAAACACACACACACACATACAGAAAGAGAGAGAGAGAGAGAGAGAGAGAGAGAGAGAGAGAGAGAGAGAGAGAGAGAGAGAGAGAGAGAGAGAGAGAGACAGACAGACAGACAGACAGACAGAAAGAGAGAGAGAGAAAGAGACAGAGAGAGAGAGAGAGAAAGACAGGCAGACAGAGAGAGAGAGAGAGAGAGAGAGAGAGACAGGCAGACAGAGAGAGAGAGAGAGAAAAGACAGACAGACAGACAGAGAGAGAGAGAGAGAAAGACAGACAGACAGAGAGAGAAAGACAGGGAGAGGAGGGGGGGGCAGAGAGACATAGAAAGAGAGAAAAAATGTCTCCACAGCTTCGCCTCCGACACCCAGTGCTTGCGTCATCACAGCCTCCGTCTGCCGCTGCGTCCTCGAGGCCCCTAGTGGCAGCTGTCGCAGGCGTACGAGTTGAGATAAACCGTCTTGAAGGACGTGCCGCAGACAGCCGGCCGGAGCTTGAACTGGATCCAGTTCGCCATCACGCCCTGGCCGTTGTAGCAGGTGCTCACGAGGCCACTCGGATAAGAGCTCGTCGGGTACAGGTAGCTACTGCTGCTGCAGGAGTAGTGCCACCAGCCGCCCTGCTTGATCGCCGCGCAGTTGCCTGTTTGGGGAGGAGCCAAGCGCGTTAAGGAGCGGCCACACTTGCCTGGGATCCCCTCACACATAGGCCTACGAGGGGAACCGCGATGGAAGTCCCCGCCATGCACCACAGCGAGCGATAACCGCTGCGTTGGCTACAGAGGGGAAAGTGTTGCCAAAACAAGAACTGTAATATAATCCCTAGGAAGCTTATTACTCGATTGTCTAAACGGAAAAAAAAATTTCCGGTCGACCTACATCTCCCGCAAGTCCCGCGTCTCGTCCCCCTTCGCCACGGCCACAGAGACCTCACACTCCAACCGGCGGCAGCGAACATCCAGCCTCGAGGGGAGACATCCTCGACGAAAGGGTTCTCGCTCAATTGAAGTGCAACAAACCCTAAGACCTTACATTCACCCATCCACTAATAATATGTCAATGATTAAAATGATAACGACAATTTGATTATAATGATAATAATAATACTAATAACGATAATAATAATGATTATGGATATAATACATAGTAATGATAACAATAATGATGATAAAAATAATAACAATAATGATAACAATAAGACAATAAAAATAATAATTAAAAATAAAAAAAAAAACAATAATAAAAACACCAATACTTACTGCTCGAGCTGTCGTGGTCCCGGTCATAGGTCGAGAAGAACCTGTTATGGGACACACTCATGCAGTTCGAGGTCGTGCTGCTTTCCGGCGAGTAGTTGCTTAAAGTCAGCTTGTATCTGTGTGCAAAAGTTGTCAATTGCAGCAGTTGAAATCATTCAGTTGGAGTGAGATTGGTTGAGTGGATGGATAGGTAGATGTAGAAGAGATTGGGAGAGAGAGAGGGAAGGAAGGGAGAAGAGGAGGAGGAGGGAGGGAAGGGGGGAGAGGGAGGGAGAAGGAGAGGGGAGAAGGGAGGGGAGAGAGAGAGAGGAGAGAGAGAGAGAGGAGAGAGAGAAGAGAGAGAAGAGAGAGAGAGAGGAGAGAGTGAGAGAGAGAGAGAGAGAGAGAGAGAAGAAGAGAGAGAGAGAGAGAGAGAGAGAGAGAGAGAGAGAGAGAGAGAGAAAGAGAGAGAGAGAGATGGTGGAATATAATGGTAAAGATGTATGTAGAAGTGGTCATGGTAGTTGGTGCTCAAAACTGTAAGAAAGGTTTTAGTTGGGTATCTGTCAGGTATTAGGATTCTAGGAATATCATAAAACATGTTACGTATTTTTAAAAATAGAAGCCCATGAGGTATTAGGATTCTGTGAATATAAGTGAACGTAGCCTATAGTTAAAAGTCTATGAAAGGATTCTAAGAATTTTATACGCAGTCCATATGATTTATAATTAAAACAAATGACAGTTGCTAGGATTTTTAAAACGTCGATGATAGTGGCCCTCATAAATCATAGTTAGGATAATTCTCAGATAATTGTCATCCATTAATAACAATGTTAATGATACTGATAATGACAATCTTGATTGTAATGATAATAATGATAATGATATAATGATATATTAATAAGCGATAATGCAATACCAACAATAATAGCAGAAATAATAATAGTAATAATAACAACAATAATAATAATACTGATAATAATAATATAAAAATAATAACGATGATAATAACAATATTAACAATAATACAATATAACAATCGATTCATGATAATAAAAATAAATGACAATGATATTCAACAATAATCATCAAAAAAAAAAACCCTAAGACCACGAAGCCCGATCCAAAGTATTGCGTCGACCGCCTGGGACGCGTGGCCCTCGACTCACTTCTGGATCTCGTCGTCGACAAGAACTCTCTTCCACACTCCGCTCTTGAAGTCGCCTGTGGAGAGCTGGAGGTCCATGCGGAGGGTGTACTCCCGGCTGGAGGTCATGGTGTGCAGGAGTTCGTTGCCTGAGAGGGGGGGGCGGGAGGGGCGTCGCGCTGGGTTAATCACGGGGTTTAGGACTGTGCAGTGTGGTTGTTTACTGTCACAGAAGACGTTCACAAAAATATCTGTATGTATTTTTCAGTCTATCTCTATGTCAACCTATATATCTAATCTACACACACACACACACACCACACACAGAAAACACAACACAGAAACACACACACACACACAGAAACACGCACACACACACACACACACACGCACATTATATATATATATATATATATATATATATATATATATATATATATATATATATATATATATATATATATATATATATATATATATATATGCATGTCTGCATATAAGCACGGATTTCCGCAGAGGACCGGGCACAAGGTCCGCCCCGCCCATCCCGGCAACCAAAGCTCACCGAGCCAGTACTCGGAGCTGGGGTTCCCGAAGCCGTCCTTGTACTCGCTCCAGGAACGGTTGAATCTCTCCTGGACGTGGTTCTTCTCTCGCTTGAAGAACACCGTCCAGCCGCCTCCGTCTGTGTCCATGTCGCACCACACCTGGATGGGCTTCGTGCACAGACACCTGCGGGAGGGAGAGGCTCTCAGACGCCGTTATGGAAGCCACTGAGGGTCGAGGGTCGCGTTATGGAAGCGTTACGAAGGGGCTTCTTGTTCAAGGGGAGTTCAGGCTGAGAGCATGGCAGGGAGGGCAGAAGATACTCATATATTTGGTGAACACAGACGTACATACGGGTGTGTGGTGGTCGGTGCTTATGTGTATATGTATTTGAATAAATATCTATACCATAAAGAAATGAAGGCACTCAAACACACACACACACACACACATATATATATATATGTGTGTGTGTGTGTGTGTGTGTGTGTGTGTGTGTGTGTGTGTGTGTGTGTGTGTGTGTGTGTGTGTGTGTATGTGTGTTGTCTGTCTCTGTGAACGAGTGTGTACATAAGTGCATGTATGTATCTATTTTTGCATGTGAGCGTGGATGCTCGGTTGTTCTCACGTGAAGGGATAGATGTCGTAGACGCCGCTCACGGTCGCCCCGTATACAAGGTGATCGGCGCAGTCAGCAGGTCTGTGGGAAAAGAATATTCACTTACATCATCACAGGCATTGATAAATCTAATGACGGTTCTTAATGCATCTATTTTCCCACAAAAATATTTACTTACACATCACAGGTCATCTATTTTCCCACAAAAATATATATTTACTTACACCATCATAGGTATTAATATATCTAATGACGGTTCTTAATGCATCTATTTTCCCATAAAAAATAACTTACATCATCACAGGTATTCATAAATCTAATGACGGTTCTTAATGCATCTATTTTCCCACATAAAAAACAAAACAAAAGCGATTAAAGATCGTAAGCTCTCACCGAAAACTCTTCAATCCTTTCGAAGAGGATTCGTCTCCTCTGGTTCCGTATAAATATAAAAATATTCACTTACATCATCAAAAGTATTAATAAATCTAATGAGGGTTCTTAATGCATCTATTTTCCCACAAAAAACAACTGAGGATCGTAAGCTCTCACCGAAAACTCTTCAATCCCTTCGAAGGGGATTGGTCGTCTTCTCTGGTTCCGAATCTGCAATGCAATCGTGTTTTGAAATCGTTAACAGTGGAGGTTCGTCTAGGAAATCTTCGTATTTTCTGTTTTTGGTTCGTTATTTCTCGTTTCTGTTTTATTATTCTGCATTAAATGTATTGTATTTTCATGTTTATATCTGGGATAAGCATGCTGTGTATATATATCAAATGTGAACAAATTTATCTATCTGTCTATCTATTTGTCTTTATGTAAGGGCAAACACACACACACACACACACACATATATGTGTGTGTGTATGTGTTTATGCATTTATATATACACATGTGTATATAAGTATATATATATATATATATATATACACACATATATATATATATATATAAATATATATATATATATATATATATATATATATATATATATATATATATATATATATATATATATATATGTGTGTGCGTGTGCGTGTGTGTGTATAATACACACAAATATGTGTTTGTATGTATTATGTATGTATACTATACATCATATATATGTGTATATATGTGTGTGCGTGTGACAGCAAAGGGCCAGATACTCACGGCTGTTGGATGCCCGTCTGGTTAGGATATCGCCTGTCCTTGAGCAGGATCT